CATAAGTAATTATAGTACGACAATGTTCTCATCTTATATCAAAAGAAAGAAAAGCAGCTTTTGACCAACAAAAGATAATTTTATTGAAGCCAAAACAATTTCATCTCCAAGCAATGAAATCAACATTGACTGTTGATTTGACTTTTCTCAAGCAAATTCAAGCAAGTATGTCCTTAGACCTTCTTGTTTATGTTATTAAAAAAAATTCCTCTAAGTCTCAAGATACTTCCAAATTTGAATTTAAAGAGAATCTACTCTATTTTGAAAAATGCTTATATGTTCCAGAAGGAAAAGTACAATTATGTGCTCTTGAAGCTCATTACAATTTCTTTGGATCAAAACATTTTGGATATAATAAGACTTTGGAGCTTATATCTAGAGATTTTTGGTGGCCTCAAATATGAAATGCTATTAAAGAATTTGTATAGATATGTGATGTTTGTTCAAGATCAAAAACTCCTTATCATCGACCTTATCGACTCCTCCAACCATTATAAATACTAAAACAACGATGGTCTTCTGTTTCTATGGATTTTATCTCGAATCTTCCAATTTTAAGTTCATATGATTTCATATTTATAATTGTAGATTATTTCACTAAGATGGTACATTTTGTACCATGTACAAAATCTATTACAGGTGAAGGAACAACTAAACTCTTCTTTGATAACATCTATCACTATCATGGATTACCAAGGGATATTATATCAAACAAAAGTACATAATTTTTATCAAGATTTTCAAGAACTTTTTTTAAGATATTGAAGGTCGATATAAAACTATCTTTCCACCCTCAAACTGATGTGTTCTATGTGTCTTTATTTGAGCCATACAAGACAATGGATATACAAAGTAAGAGACAAATGCCACCACCTTCTATAGAAATGGATAATAATGAAGAATTTGAGGTAGAAGAAATCTTTGATTCAAGGCGGTGCCAAAATAGATTAGAATATCTAATACATTGGAGTAGATACGACATTAATGAATGCACATAAGACCCATCCACGAATCTAACAAATGTAACAACCAAAGTTAAAGCTTTTCATCAATGACATCTATCAAAACAAAATGAAGAGTAAAGAAATTCTTTGTTATAAAGCAAAGCAAGCCCAATGGAGATTTCATTCTATTTTGTATCATTTTTTCTTTAGATTTATTAGTGCTTAGAAGATGAAGAATCAACAACCAGCAGATTCAATTCAAGAGCTATCATTTGTTGAGCTACTAGATAAGATATTTCAACTATCACAACCTTCAAGATAGTGAAATTGAGATGAAGACCCTCAAGAATGACATGTTCTTTTTTGAATAGATGGCAAGATACAATACATTTGGTACCACGACCTTGGGAGGGACTCCCAATATTTAGTGATACTTTTGGAGATAGGAACCACTCTTGATGGAATTATTAATGTTTTATTTGAAGGAAGTTATGAAGGCCTCAATAATGATTAAATATCAGGGTAGTCTTTTTGCCTTGATATGGGATATTATCGATGGTTGAAGGGACCTATCAACTACCTTCGAAGGGAACAAAGATCAGAGTATATGACAAATATAGTTTGATGCATCTTGGACTTCATCTATATGTAATCGCCGCTCTTCGTGGAACTCGTCCCTAGAAGAGAGGATAATGTCACAGACATACATATTTATCCTAATAATTATATAGATAATAAGAATATGTAGAACTAAGTCAAAGTAGATAAATATGATAATATCTTGTAGAAAGCTTCCTAGAAGCTTCATAGACGCTACATTGTCTTTATACATGTCTATAAGTGATTGATAGGTTGAAAACTTGGCCAACAAGGAGGCCACATGTCGACATATTGACCACTTGTAGTATAAGTTGGACATATGGTGCACACTTAAGAAACTTGCCTTGCAAATTAAACATGTGTATTACAAGTTGGACATATATTAGAAATCCTATAGCATGTCGCTATTCCTTAGTTAAGTAGTATATATAAAGACAAGAGTGAGGCCTTCCTCACTCTTATCAACTCCTTTCTTGCTTATTTGTCTAGTTTCAAGAGTCTTATGTTTTCTAGACTTTGGCAATAGCCATTCTAGTTCTTCCTTGAATAGACATACTTTCTTCTATTTTGTCACTTTTCTTTTGATATAGATTCCATGATTTTATGCATCTTCTTCTAGTTTGTATCTTTTACATAGACATAGAAGGTTTTTGATTGGCCATGAAGAAAAAAACTTTAAAAATACATAGAACTTTGGAACTTTGAGGAGAAGAAATTGAAAATGGAAGAATTGTGAAAACTAAAAAGGTGGAACTTGTGAAATATGAACAAGAGAATTGAGATGATGGAGGGAGTAAGAAGGAAGACATAGGATGGAAGAATGAGATGGAGAGATAGTAAGAATAAAATAAAATTATATATATATATATATATATATATATATATATATATTTACATCCAACAATATAGTTTTCTTTTGATTTATATTAAATATTAGAAATAATAATATATACAAAATTATGTGCAATCAAAACATTTAATTTTCTTAAAATTCATAGTAACAAATCCAAAGGAATCTTTATCTTAGAAGTTTAATCTTCATTATAAAACAAATTTCTGATGTAAGCTTTTAGAAGAAATTATAGTAGCTATCGGACATTTTTAAAGCTTAATGAATCTTTAATGGAAACTCTTTAAAGAGTATAGAAGGTTTTTAGATCTTAGAGATGGTTTTAAAAAAAAAAAAATACATCCTTAGAATAATACATAAAAAATAATGAGATTATTGAAATTATTTTAAATTATTTTAAAAGGTGTTTAGATGTTTAATACATTATATCTTTGTAAAATTATCTCATCTTTCAATAACAACATCTAAAAAGAATTCTAATAATCTTTGTATTTATATTTTAAAATTAAAATTAAAACCAAAGATAAGTAAAAAATTAATAATTGATAATTTTGGTTTTAATTTTTATATATTAATTAATTTATTATAACTAAATTTATTATTTTAATGTCTTTAAAATGTATTCTAAAATAAATTTTAAAATAATTATTTTATAATGATTAATTTATAGAAAAATTACTAAGACTTAAGTATTTTTTTTAGTATTTTTATATCAAAATTGCTTGTAGCAAAGTTATACTTAGCATTTGATAGAACTTGCTTCATTTTAAGAATGTCTATATGGTGGTGAAAGTTGTTATAATTATTATGGTTGGTCTAGAAATTGCAAAAAATATACCTCAAGTTCAAGATTGTAGGACTTTATAAAGAATTTTAAACTTAATATATTAAAGTTGCAAACATAGTACTTAAGAGCCTTGATTTGCAAGAGAGAAATTAGATCATTATTTTTTGTTTCTATTTTTAAATATTAATGAATAAGAATGTATGTATGTATTTATTCATTTAATTTTAGTTATTAAAAATATGTATTGGATTCCTGATTTTTAAAACTTTATACTTGATTCTATAACTTTTATTAATATAATAATGGTAATAATTTTATCTATTTTTATATTATATTTAAGAAATTATATTAGAAGTAAATTTAAAAATAATTGGTGATTCTAAAGAATAGAAGACTTTTCTTAAAAAAATTCAATACACATCAAAATTATATGTAAATTATGACAACCTTGACGACTTTGAAAACTTCTAAATATTTAAGATTTATTTTCAAGTTTATCTTCTTTAACTATCATTATTTTATTACTAATTACTTTAATTATATAATACTCTTTTTAAGTTATAAATTTAAGAGGGATTAGATAACATTAAAAGAAAACCAAAAAAGAAAACCAAAAATACAATATTACATGATGTTTGATCAATTGTAATCACTTCCAAATGTTGTATTTCTTCAATAGTATTTCTCTGAGCTAAAAGAAATCTTTTAATTAATCAATAGATATTAAAATTTTCTTATTATATATGATAAAAATAATTTATCATAAAATCATATATTGATATCTCAATATGGAGTTTATTATCTATAATTATTTTTTAAAAAATACGTTCATAAAGTATTTTACTGTGTATGAAAACTTTTTAATAAAAATTGAGATTTGAGAGTAAAAGAAATGTGTTTTTAATAACATAATCGCAGTGCTTAGATGTATGGGTCTTTAGATTATTTTTTTTATTGTTTTTCTAGTAAGACAATATTACCACGTAATATTACCAGTTAAGCTCTTAATATTTCTTTTTGAATTTAATACTATGAAATAAAGTTTGATCTACAACAACAAAATATCTGGTTTATCTTGGTTTTTGTCATTATTTTTCTTTTTGAATTAAAGATTTGAACAAATTATCATCAAATTGTATTGTATCATTTTGATGTTGCAAGTGATTACTTGTAGTGTTAGTTGTTGTTGACATTGTGATTTGACATACACTACTAAATTCAAATTGACTCTTTTAAAACTAAAAAACAAAAATTAAAAAAAAATCATTTGAAATTTCTTGCACAATAAATTTATTTAAAATATAAAAATGCAGAATCGTAAAAATATACTTTTAATATTGTCGTCTAACCAAATTTTAATCAATTAATAAATCTGATTTTCGAATTATCAAAAATATATATATATATATATAATTAAATTATTATTATTTTAAAAGTGTACTTCAAAATCTATTCTAAATGTTTTAAAATTTCAAATATTATTATAATCTATCTCTAAATATGATACAAACCAAGTCAACATAGTATATGCAGATATTTTAATTACAAATTTAAACTTCTATTTTTTTATTATCTTATTGCATATAGTAAAGAATCTTATTATCTTAATGCTTTTAGTGGTAATAGATGCACCAACATTAAAAACGAACAACACAAAAAAGAAATCCTCGGCCCATATTTTCATCCACGAGTCTCGTCAGCATTGTCGTTATGAATTATCATTCATGGGTGGCACGACTGCGACCAGAGGTCTGGCAAGCAAGTATGAAGCTTCCGCTGGACGGCGTCCAGTCTCTCTGATACCTCAGTGACCTCGAAGGCTTTCACTTGCTGCTTTGCCAAGGAACTGATTTCCTCTGAGAATATATAGAACTTGAATTATCCAGGTATTCGTAAAATGGGTTGCGATTATTCCAGGCGTGTTCACATGCGCTATGAAGAATTTCACGACTTCGTGGGAAAGTTTAGCCTCTAGTTGAGTTCGCTGTGTTTCTTGGCTATGGAGATGTAGATTCAGGATTTTGCGGATATCCTCGATCGTCTTTATGGTCAGTACGAAGAACTTCCTTTAAATTTTCTTGTATTTCTTCAAGTAGTTTTCTTACTGACTTCACTTTCTGGTTTCTGCCAAAAACTGTGGTCTGAGAGAGCAATATTTATGACTAACACTGGTCGTTCAGTTGCTATTCTCCGCCAGTTGAAACAGCTGAGGCTGCCCCTCTCCAATGATGCTTAAGGTCACCAGTGCATCACTCAAAACTGTGCCGTTGGGAACTACTATCCACTGCCTAATTGGAGAGTGTGCTATGAAAGCGCTATTGATGTTTAGTTGTGTCTTAAACTTCAATGTGCGACCTGTTGAGTCGGGGGTAAAGATTTCTTATATTTAGATAGTTGTAGCAAGGTAATCTTTAGTAATCGAAGCCTGCTTGTTGGGAGGATTATTTTTTTGCAGATTGTTTTGTTTGGACTCGTGATGAATCTAAGGTCTGTAGAAAGAGTTTAGCGTAAACCTTGCGGAATACCCATTACAATTCAGAAGCCTTGCTGTCCGCTGTGACAATGGCCATGACTGTGGGAAGATAACTCCAATGTCACTTTTCATGGACGCCAGCATATGGAACTTGGCATAGTTGCGAAGTGAAGCTGCAGTTTACAGGGACTCCAGAGCTTTGGGCACTTTGTTTTTAGGTATCAATGATATGTTTGGAATCGGCCATTAATCCACCAATATTTGCAAATTTCCTTTCCTTCGGAATTTCAATTTTATAGCTATCCAAAGCATGCGCTTTCCTACGTACACTTTTTAAGCTTCTGTGCATTCTGATTCTATCATGTGGATCAAGTAACAATGACGTAGGGAGTAGCCTAGGATTATCAGTACAAGAGCGAAATAGATTTAAAAGGACACAGTAAAATGGCATTTCGTACACGAAGTGTGAAACGAAGAATATTTGCATGTGTCCATAGCCTCATGAGCTGAAAGACCTAAATTGAGGTCGTGCCTTATGCATGCAGCTAAACAACGTCAGCAAGGATTCGGTGGTATAGAATCAGCACTCCTAGCAATTAGGCTTGGCACTCTCTTGAATACCATAGAAATTTGAATTTTTTGTATGGTAGTCTTTCGAAACTTGGTACATTATAATCTCACACAGTATCCAATCGAGGTCTTAATGTGCAACGCGTGGATCAGCACTCTTTTCTTTCATCTACGTTTTCAACGAATGAAGCAAGTTTTAAACTGGGTGTCGGCGTTTTTGAATTATGAACTTCAGACGTACTTCTGAGTTGGGAGTGCTCTATTATTAGATACGTCTTGTAAAAGTGGAAATCATGGCTCTTTCACAAGCAGGTTAGCCTTGCAAGAGTGCCAGGAATTCATATCCAGATCGTTCCCATTGGAAAGTACCTATGTGGTGGCATTTATTTTACAGATATGTTAAGACCCCTAGGTATATCTCAGGACGTTCTTCTCTGCAAAGACTCAGCATCGCAGCATATCTATCAAAACACACTTCGTCGATCAAGAGGAAGGTTTGGACAACTGGTACCCATCGATGAAGAAACTTGTTAGTAAGTGCCAAGCTATTGTCTTTATGCCCTATACTTCAGCCTCCATTCGACACATTCTTTCACGAGTGATCTTTTATAATACCAGCATCCGTTTTATGTGAACTACATATGATATGAATATGAGTAACAGTCAGAATTGTGTTTATGATTCATTGAACCACTTGGCCGAAGCAATCAAAAGGTCCTGCAGGCGAGAATGAATATTGAGAAAACCACTTACTGCAGGTCTGTGTTCTTACAGACGCCACACTTGCTTTCGCGATCCGCTGCTATTCCCTCACAACAATTATGAGCATAACGTGATACTTTGATGTATCCACACAACAAACCCCAAACCCTAGACTCTGAACCATGAAATCAGTTCCATGCAGTCAAGATCGGACAGTAATAAAACGATGTATTAACTCAGCAGATGTCTTTCCTTGTGAACACCTCCTTCGATACCTAACGCAGTGTTTCTGCGCGTGCCACTTTGGGACCCTCACGCAACCAACTCATTCTTGTCGGTGTCTACAAAATCAATCCAGCGTTCTTGTGTTGGTATAATACCTATTTCCCAATGTGTACACACAAGAAGAAAAATTTGGGGGGCTTCAGTCTATCTGTGCTGCTTACATCTGGTTACCTCAATTACAACATAGCATGCTCATTTCCCTTCACGTTGCTAGACTGGCCTAACCCCCTAAATCCGAGGCAGTGAGATTGTAAAACTGCGGGGCGTGAGAACCTTGCAACTAGCGGTCAACTTCTTCCCTGTTTCCGGATTCACAGAGGGAATGCTGGTCAACTCCGAAAACACGTGGTTTCGCGGCGGATAATTTTATTTCCTTCTTCAAACTTCTTTAAAAAGTTATTCTATTCCACTTTGTTGACAAATATGGGAGCCCAGTTGCATCGCAGACGCTTACCAATGCAACCACCGCAACAATAGACACGATAGACCCAGCTCTCACATTGACGCGACCCCCATCCCAGCCCCTACCCCAGCATAGATTCCCTCCCTATCTAGGCAAAAAATCTCCGTCAAAGGAGATCCTTGAATGCAGTCGGATCTGTGCTTATATACAAATATATGGTGAGAAGCCCCTTTATTTCGGGGATCCCGCTCACTTCCTAATCTAACCCCCGCTGCCTAGCAGACTTGATACACCAGATTCAACGTCATCCATCATAGCAAGCAAAGGATGTCAACTAAGACACATAACGTACCAGGCCAAACGTCTTAGGAGAGAGGTGCAAAAGCTATACGACTCGGCGCTCAATGCGTGCGCATTTAGAATGGAAAATTCGAGGCCTCATCCTCCGAAATGAGAGAGAGAGTAGGGTCCGTGAGGGTGGGGACTGCGGACTAAGACCGACGGCGACCCCTCTTTCCTGGGAGCTCGTCAAGTCAGCGGTCGCCGTCTTCTTCCGTCCATCATCCAACCAACGGGGCCTGGTCCTCCCCTCCCCCCCCCGCGCGGCCCGGCCCGGCCCGGCCCCCGCCCCACAGGGTCATAGGGTCCGTGTCCCAAGACCGCTGGTGCACCATGCTGATACGCGGCCATGGATCTTGTGTTTAATGTGTGATTTGTGGTTCGTATCATTTCGGGGGTCTTCATAACAAATGTATTGAGGCATTGAGATTTTCGTGTAGCTTGAGTGTGGGGTTTTTTTTCAATTATTGTTGGGGTGGATTCATTGTGTCATGCATGCTTGATGGTGGTTCCAATGGGGTGTTTCAGAGCCATCCTAACAAATTACTTTTCATTGATGCTAAAGTGCTTGTATTGAAGATGGTAGTTGGAAAAATAAAAATAAAATAAAAAATAAAAAATTATAGAGAAAGAGAAAGCGATAGTGGAGCTCAGAAGAAGTGTCTGAGGAGGATGAATGTTTGAGTATTTTGTTGATTATCTGAGAAGGACACATATTTAGTACATGTTTGAAGCAAGAGTTTGGACAATAGTAAAAGAATCTATTCAACCAAATTTTGTTATTCCTGCTACAGGTTAGTTTTTCATTTTAAATTATTTTTGTACTGCTTTATTTTTTTATAAATATAATCGTTTTATGTTTCCAAGAATACTCATTTCGTCAATTTTTAAAGACATTCTTAGAACACTTCAAATTATGAGTGGTTGGGTGAATGTGCAATAAAAAGACCGTAAAAAAAATCAATTAAAATGCAAAGAAGTAAAAGTTTAGAAAATGTGGGTTAGGAATAACATTTATATCACATGTAATTTATATCACATGTAAAGCCAATTGATGTTGCAAACTAATTCTCCCACCTTTCATACTTTCTCTTTTCATTTACCATAAAACATCAGTTAAGAAATTTTACCAAATCATACCTTCAAGAACAAACCTAAACAAAAATGGATGTTTATGATATTAATCATACACACACTTGTGTGCAATAGTAACTTATGGCAAAAAAAAAAAAAAAAAAAAAAAAAAAAAACTTACATATGTTATTCTCCAACAATTAACAACATTGTGGAATTATGACAAGCGTAATTTTTACTTTATTTTTATAATTCCTTTCTCCGCTTGGTGCTTCACGCTCCACGCTTGAAGCGGTAATGGAACACCCGACTTGGTACGGTGGTGGTCACCCGATAAGACCGAGAATGGTGGTACCGGGTATGACCGAGACCAGGGCGGAAGCACGGAGCACGAAGGAAGGGAGAAAGGCGCGACCTAGACTTCGACTTTGGTCGCTGGACTTGCGGGTGTATGCGAGACGACTGACTACCTCAGCGTCGACGATTAGATGGTAGCGTCGTTGTCGTTGTTGTTGTCGTCATCGTCGTGGGTCCTGTCTACAATCATTCTTGTCAAAACTCCATCGCCGATCTTTCCTCACAATCCTCATCAAGGTCCTCCTTCTAGTGAAGAAATTGGGTCGCTTTAGCTTGGGTGGTTTCAGTACTGCTCCGATTGACGGGTCTCGCGGCGATTGTAGTAGCCCTAGCACTGGAGCTCGCGTTGGCGGAAACATCCGGCGAGAAGGGTATATGGGTACCCGTAGAGCAGGGATTTGGGGAACATGTTCGAAATCATTTTGGTGAGGGGAAAGAAGTTGTGGTGATGAAGGGAGCTCTCACTCATATCGACTTGCCCATCCGGGCTCGTCTCTCTCGGACGTCGCAGCGCGCTGCGGACGGAATGAAGAAGCTGATGCAGGTGCCGTTCTCCTTGGCCACCATGGAGCGTAAGTGGCTGTCACCACTGTTGGCCAGTACTATGATCTCAATTCTGCTGCTGCTCTTAGCCACGCTCAATTTGGGCTACCGCGGCCACCACCCTAGCATTGGAACCAACCGGATGGATCCTAGCCGGGCCCAGAACGTGCAGGAAATCACGGAGGAGGAGCAGATGGCAGGGCTGCCTCCCCCGCCCAAGCTCGCCTACTTGATCTCAGGCACTAAGGGGGACGGCTTTCGGATGCAGCGGACACTCCAAGCGTTGTACCACCCGCACAATTATTACCTCTTGCACTTGGACCTTGAAGCTCCCGAGAAAGAAAGGATGGATTTGGCGGTGTACGTGAAGCATGAGCCCGTGTTTCAGGAGGCGGGGAACGTGTTTGTGGTTGGAAAAGCCAATTTGGTGACTTACAAGGGGTCTACGATGATTGCTACGACGTTGCACGGGGCTGCTATCTTGCTTCGGAAAGCTAAGGATTGGGATTGGTTTATTAATCTGAGCGCGTCCGATTATCCTCTTATTACTCAAGATGGTGAGCCTGAGCGTGATTTTCTTTATGATCCTGCATTTCTTTGAGTGGTGTGTTGGGATTGTTGTCCGTCGTTGGGTCGGGTGATCGGTGGGACATCTATTCTGAGGTGAATGAAATGGAACGCAATCACGTTTTAACAGCTTATGGAAGTGCTCTGTCCGTAGAGTTAATTTGGAAAATCTCTGATTGAATTTTGCCCACTGGATGAATGCAGATCTTCTCCATGTTTTCTCCTACTTACCGAAGGACCTTAATTTCATTGAGCACACGAGTGACATCGGCTGGAAAGAGTAAGCCCAACATGTTTTTTTCCCCCAAACTTCAGCGAAAAAAGAGTAAAAGAACCGAGGACTCTCGATAAATTAGAATTTGAAGACAGTTTTGTAAGTTGGGGGACGAATCTTCTTTGTAGAATGCGTTGGTGTCCAAAACATATAATACCTTCTTACATTCACTGTTGCTCTCGTTTATGGCATTTTGAAGTCCGTATATTATCAATTCCCTTATTTGAACATCTGATAGAATGTCCCACGAATATGTTGTAAATATGAATGACGATGATGTGGTTAAAATGAATGATAGGGAGCAGCGGGTGAAGCCCATCATCATCGATCCTGGGCTATATCAGAAAACCAAAACTGACATCTATTGGATGACACAGAGGAGAGCTGTGCCTTCTGCATTTCGTTTGTTTACAGGTAATTAACCTCCTCGTTCGGGGCTGATGGTTTTCTTCGTTTGGGATTCCTAGAGCGCCACGACAGTTCCTGATTAACTGACTAGTTTTTGCGTACACAGACTAAAACTTAGATTATCAGTGATACCAGTTCCCGCAAGCCATATCACATCTTCTGCTAGCTAGGTTCTGTTTCATAGAATGTAGTTCACTAGCTTGGAGAGGAGTTCAAGTTTTGTTTTTAGGTTGAGCGAATTAGAGAATCAAGTCTTAGTGCAACCATACTAGGGACCAGATCCTACAGGATCGTCAAACCTCGAAATTCAAGATTATCTTCGTTTGAGATAATGTGGGTGAAACTGATGGAGAAAGGAGTTTGACTTACCTCTTTATTTTTATTTTTATTTTTGTCTATTTGTTTGTTGTTTGGGTTGTAATAAATTTTTTCTTATTTCTTTTTTATACTCATCTTTTGATTCTTTTCTCGAACTGGGGGTTTGAGAGGGCTTGCAGATAGCTTGTCATTCTCCAAGCAACTACCTGACAACCATTCAAATGTTGCTTGTATTGTGAAATCAGGCTCAGCATGGGTTGTGCTCTCTCGCTCTTTCATAGAATACACTATCATGGGCTGGGAAAATCTTCCACGCACGGTACTGATGTACTACGCAAACTTTGTGTCATCACCCGAAGGCTACTTCCACACTGTGCTTTGTAACAGCCAGGAGTTTCGCAACACAACTGTAAACCATGACCTTCACTTTATTGCCTGGGACACCCCTCCCAAGCAACACCCATTGTCTCTCACTGTCAAATTCTTCAAAGACATGAGCAATAGTGGGGCGCCTTTTGCCCGAAAATTTAACAAAGATGATCCGGTGCTGGATAAAATCGACGCTGAACTTTTACACCGGAAGAAGCATGGATTCAGCCCTGGTGGCTGGTGCGTGGGACCAGATGATAATCCGTGTTCAGTTCGGGGAGATTACTCGTTACTGAAACCTGGACCCGGTGCTCGCAGGTTTGAGGATCTTGTTGTCCGCCTTCTGTTACCTGAAAACTTTCGATCCCGCCAATGTGTCGGGGTTTGAAGGTCCAGCATTAGAAGGTGTTAGATGAAGTTCGCGTTTCTCTGGGAAAAGGGGGGTTTCTGGAGGACGTGGACTTTGGAAAGGAGGAGGTATGGTTGCCTAAGCATCTTCAGAGGGCTGTTGCATTCGAGGTGGAATTGAGAAGTTAGAATTCCTCAGGCTCGTGTGGAAGACTCTCTGCCTCCTAGAGAAGAATTTGCACTCTCTCCGGGTTCTATGCACCTTCAATCAACTTCGTCGTCTGATGCCTGCCATGAACAGATTATGTCGCAGATGTTCCAGCACCCTTTGGAGTGCTTGCGGTGATGACTGCATTCGCTTACTACACCTTTACTCTTCACTTCGATGAGCTCTTAGTGACTGCCTCAATAGGCACGAGTTTATGATTGTAGATTCCATTTTCTCGCGTATCTTGCGTAGTTCATTTTCCGCATGAAGTGCCTGCTATGAAGTGAAAGCAGGTGCGAGGAAGAATGCACAAGTACTATGTTCATATTATTATGTAGCGGATAACAGAATATTTCCTGAAGATGTTTCACTTCAGAGTGTCAGGAGCATCAGCTGCAAGCAAGGCAGAAGTATACAAGGAAGTACTTGTGGAGTGGTTATCACATTTGGTCAAGAAATGCAGCAACAATCAACATATTCTAGGTTCCTCCTCCAATTCGCACAGAGCTATAGGTGTTAAATTTTGAAATAGACCTGTAATTCAACATTTTATCAACTTTTATGTTGCACCTACATCTTCTTTGCAAAGTACTCATGAGCTGATGTAGGAGACAGAAGTTAGCTGGTCACTTGGATCTTTGGGTTCTGGAGTTTTTTTGCCAGAGATGCCTTACCTGGATCAGGATATTGATTATGAGCCAGCAGTTAATACTGAAGGTTTCGTAGCAATGTTTTTTCTTGATTGTATTGGAGTTCTTAACTTGTCTGTTGGGCAGGATCAGCAAAGCACAACTACTGTAAAACCTAACACTGAAAACAAGATAACCGCCACAATGAGATGCACCCAACAATTACGAAGAATTCTTGCTCCTAGCAGCACAAGGTCTGTGAGCCTAACTTCTCATGACACAAACGATAGTTCGGTATCTTGGAAACAGGTGAGTCTAAACCCATCAAAGGAGCCAATATCCGAGTACCACCAATAAGTCCAACTTATTTAGAACCACCGACATTTTCCCAACAGTTAGTAGTGCTGTTCATCGACAGATAGCAAGTTTGCGTGTTGTAGATCACAGGCACAAAGAGTCTGGTTGGATTGATGCAGTTCCATTCACTTTATTGGTAACAAAGATGAAATTGGATTTCTATGTTTACCGTGTCATTGTCAGTGGGTAGGCATGAAGGAGCTTTGATTGTACTCGGTGGCTAAAGCCAAGAGAAGAAGGAATAAAAAGAAAATGAAGGTAAATAAGAGGCCACACACTCACATATGACATTCTTAACTTTCCTTGAAATATCACATGTAAATTCCACCCAAAACAAGCTCCGACCTGGTACAGTTGTTGTAAAATGATCTGTTTACTTCTTTCCTGCGCAGCAGAACGTATCTCCGGACTAGGTTGCGATCAGACATGCAAGGCATGATTTGGCAATACAGTGATGAAAATTTGAATATCTTAATTAATTTAATTAATTTGAATTGTAGTAACTAATTTAGTATTTGTTTTTGGTGGTATTACAATTATAAAAAAAGTCTAAAATAAGAGAAATAAAGTTATATTAACCTTAAAGAATTTTTTTTCAAACATGTCATAACTTCAACATTCTCTTACACACAAGTGGGTAGAACTCATGTAAAAGTTGGACAATTGTTAAGGCTATAATGGGAACTCTAACCCATTAAAGAAATGGAATGTTAGAGAGACCCAAGTTTTTACTAATTCAACCTACACATGATGAATGTGGTTGGTTTTCATTGGTTTTAGATCTGGTAGTGGAGAAATAAATCTAGGGTTATTTTATTTTATTTTATTTTTCATTTCATGATGGTTAGGATGGATGGGTCAATTTAGTAAAAAGCTAAGTCAATTTAATATTCCCCTAGAAAAAGCTTACTTGCAAATTTAATATATTTTTAGTCATGATAAAATAATACTATCCTTGCACAAGTTAACAGTATTGTTTTCTTTTGAACAGAATATTCTTGACCTAAATTATGTGAAAACTAACGGTAGGACACAATGGCTAAAAGTCCAGCAGCTAGAGCTACAACCAATAACATTCTACATTCGATTGGAGATTTATAAAAGAAACAAAACAAGTTAAAACAACTCATCACTATCCGTCACAAGTTGGGTGTGTACACAGAGAGAGAGGGCGAGACCTCAAAACAGACTGCGTTCATGGCACTTATTTGTCAACACATTGAGATACATAGAACTACTATCGGCAAGTGGAGTGTGCTGCCAGACTCTCTAACCTGACAATTCCAAAAAACACTCATGTAGAATAGCTCTAGGGTACAAATACAAAAAATCTACGCAGAATTTCATCCATATTAACACCGTTTGATTTTCCATGCATCCCATGCAAAACACCAGGATTTTAGGTGCTTTTAAAGCACATTTAATTTGGCGTGTGATCTCCTACAGCAGAGACTGGCTCTCCGTGATTAACGAACCCAGTAAATCTAAACTATGAATACCCTCCTCTCTCAAATAAGAGAACATGCAAACATAATAGAGACAAACTAACCATCGTGCTCACCTAATAATCCTCGTCACTACCACCATAATCTCCATCTGACAGTTCGTCAAACGTGCGCATATCCAGCTGATAGCGCAAAATACCTCCAATACCTCCGAAACCTCGACAAAACTGGGACCCTTCCTGTAGACCACATACAGAAAAAAAAAAAAAAAAAAAAAAAAAAAAAAACTCCCACTCAGATCGACTGTGCATGCTAAATTAGATTCGAAAGATCAAGGTAATAAAAACGGCTACAACTTGTTAACATTTTTAGACTCCTGACATCTTGTCGCATTGTAACGCACCTGTGACTTGTTGGTTACAAACTCTAAAGTGCAGCCAAACCGCTTATACTCGTTTGCAAACCACTCCAAAAGTGACAGCTTCTCTTGAACCTCCAAGTCGGCCTGAGTTTCTGCGTCCTTGAAGCTGAAGCCATCGGAAAGGGAAAAAAATCAGATTGCTGTTTCATTGTTGACATTAAACTAAGAAACCACTGCTAAGCTGATTGCACCATGACCCAAGGGTAACAACTTTAGCACTTCAGATCATACACTAATTGTAAGAGCAAATCTATACAATCCCTATCAAGCAAAGCACTCATTGACAATATGTGTGTGTACACGCGCGCGTGTTTACTGATTGAATTTATTTTAAGTTCTACCAAAACTTCAACAAACTGTATTTTCTGCAAACCATCGCCCACCTACAGCAGTAAACTAATAATCGTATTCAACACGTGCTTATATCATGTTCAGTAAAGCACGCTTTCGAGCTCTCAAATAAACGAGTAACTAGATAAATCCTAATTGTAGGAAACACAATTACACATATCAGCCGTTAAGTATACAAAATCAACATCATTAAACAAATCACCAAAGTTACACAAGAGAAGCTAGTGCAGATTTTGGTACTTCGATTGATCGGCTTCCTGCTCTTTGCTCAAATGTTTGATCACGAGCTCTCCGGTTGCTGCATTTTTCAGAATGTAACGGTTCGTGTCCAGATTCTCCCACACGATCAATGTCTCCACGGCACCCATCTCCAGAGCCTTGAGCGTGTCGTCGATTCCAAACACATACTTCCCTGTATCCTGGCTGATTTCATCAAAGTATTTTCCTATCAACCTCTTCTCCTGAATAAACTTCACGTTCGCAAGAATCTCTGCTGACAACTCGATCGCCTGATTGAACCCATTGTCTCCTCCATAAGACACATCCACCACATTCAGCACCTTCGCTTGCAGCCTAGGGTCGAACATATCGGACTGACTGAGCTCCGTCTTGAAGTCGGCTGAACCGGCAAGGATCAAACCTACATTGAACACATCCAACTGTGTCCTACATTAACTGCACTGTGAGTGATAACTCCAACATCCTCCAACAAAAACTTGCTTGCTTGTCAAGAACACTACTTCACAATCAAAAGCAATCCAATAATCTGATCCAATTAGCTCAAAGCCCACCCTGCTCTCCTCGAAAAGCATGGTGAAAAATTCCCAGAAAATCTGCCGCCAAATATCATACCTGACACATTGGGCTGACTTGTCGCAGGATTAATAAAAAACTGGGTCGCAAGCTCTGCCGTTTTCCGGACATAGTTGTGACGCTTCTCCATTCGCAACCTGGCGAAACGAAGCGCGGACTGTCCTCCACGACCGTGCTTCTTAGGTAAATCCACAGTGAACTTGTGCAGAACCTCTCGCGTGTTCCCGCTCAGGGTTCCGAACAGAGTACCGTTACCGTCCATCACGATGAACCCGAACTTGTCATCTGATTCCAGCAGTTCATTCAAAGCTTCTGTGTGAAATTTGTTGTCACAAAGGTAAAGGGAAGCATTGATGGGCTTGAAGGGCTCGAAATCAATCGTTACCTACATTTAACAGAATCTCGACGTCAAACCATTTTCACAATTCAAGAAACATTTCAATAGACTTCATCAAAATTTCATGTAGCTTTACATTCCCCTTGCTGATTCACGCAGTTCGGAATAGAGAAAGTACCTTCTTCTCCTTGCCATCATTCGTGACAATTGTTCCCGTGTACAACACAAGTCCGTTGGGTGGGACTTTGTTGTAAAGCTTCAATCTCTGCTGCGCAGAAGTGATGGCTCCCAGTACTGACTGCCTGTTCACCCTATTTTTAATGTTGGACGCTGTCCCAAACTCGTCTCCAAGCATCTTAGTCACTCGAGAAATCTGGTCCCTGAAACCACCGCATCATGCCAACTTTCTAAGTAACGAACACAATCCGAAAAAGGCACTGTGTACAACAATTATCATCAAAAATTGTGCTTCCTTCTATGGGAGACGCAGACAAACCTCGTAACCAGATCATCTCAAAGCAACATCTCCGGAACCCTAATTAGGAGGAAATGGAGCACCGACTCACAATCTCTGCGCACATCCTCTTCAATTGAAGCCTATTAACTGCACCAATTCCGAAACCCTAGTTCCACGAAAGCCATTCACCACCACAGCTGAAACTCACACCTGCCACAACTCCCCATACCAACAGACCCACACTGGAAACCATAACTTCCTCAATAAAAATACAAAAAAAAAAAAAAAAAAAAAAAAAAAAAATGAACGATCAATCAGACAAACCTGGGCGGCATGATGAGGGAAATCATGGAAGTGCCATTGCCGCGGGCGGACTCCAGCGCCTTGATGAGCTTTTTGATTTTCCATACCTCGATGTTCTTATCGGTTTCCCCACCACTATCCGACATTCCCACTACTCCTCAGAATCCAGACACTGAATTTAAAGCCCACAATCCGTCGACACCAAAAACACACACATGAGAATAATCTACGAGACCCACAAGTTGAGTATCAATCCGCTCGCACGACAATGCTTCGAAGAAAGTTAGAAAACCAAGCCTAGACACCACTGCTCATGACAGAGCCTCCAAAGGAACAATAACAACAAGTGAGTGTTTCCACCGCCCAGGTGAGTTCTTCCTTCCACTTGGTCGATACAAATCCCAATGGAGCAGCAGTGAATGGAGCTCACGACCGACTCCCATTATTCCTGCCAAGTGTACATCACCAAGTATAAACTCTCTCTTATTAGAGGTCATTTCTACATGTTGCTCCTGAATAAATATATGATATAATAGTTCCACTGTCAAATGTTTGAACAACTATGAGCATTCGTTTCGTTGTTCTTCCATCGTATTTGTACAAGTACTATCAGATAGGTATTAATTCTGAAATTGGGGCAACTTTTTATATATATAGATACACAGTTCAGAGTGTGGTGATAGTTCACTTCTGGTGAGAATGACAGTTTTGTTGTCGGTGATGGAGTGGGTGAATTAGACATAGCCTTGTAGATGAATTAGTCAGTGGTAATTCAAATCCTAGTTGTAGAATGCTTAATGGAGCTTGTATACGATTTATTCCTGTTATATTTTATATTTGTTGCTGATTTGCTTGCCTTTAAATGGCCACTATCTCTATGTCCCTATTTTCTTTATTCTTCTTTTATCAAATTAATACAAATATGTTTCTAAAATAGGCATTTGAGATAATGGTTTTTTTAGAGAAACATGTTTATTTAGTTTTGAAGGTTTTAGATAGAGGGACAAATCTTGAAGTTTTAATTTTTCTTGTAATTCTAGAGCAAAAGAGGCATGAGTGAAGACCACATACCTAAAGATAGATAGCAGGTGAGCAATGGACTTGCAAATTCCAACAAGGCGGTTTTTATCTGCAAGTTGAGATTGAAGGCTTGTGTGTCAAAGTGTTTTATTTAGCTTGTTGTCTTTCCTCTCTCTTATAAATTCACTCTTGCTTTTCTCTTGATTGCTATTATAAACTTTTATCTTATTTGTTGTTGCTTTATATCTTTTTATAGTTTTTTTTTTTTTTTTTTTTTTTTTTGTTATCATAATTTAGTAATTTTTTACTCACTCTTAATTATTATTCTATGGTTTTTATTTTTAAGTACTTTGATTTTTGTCTATTATTGTGTTCATCACTATTTTTTGTTATCCAGTCTTGTTTTTATTTTTTATTTTTATTGTTGATTATTGAAAATTATATATATTATATGTTCTTTTCCCACTATGTAGTTGCTATTAATGAACTCCTACATTTTATCATTAATTACTTGTAATTACAAAGAATTAAAAACCTCTTTATATTTTAATTATATTTTTATATACTATTAAATTTAAGATAACATTTTCTTTCTCCATTATTTCTTAAAATGGATAATATTTTATTTTTTATAATTTTTAAAAATAATTTAACAAAGATTTGTAAGGACAAGAAGTGAAGGTTGAGATAATATGGAACTATAGAATACAAAAGGATAAGGATATATCAAATTTTGGTATTAACTTTAACAAGAATCACATAATCATATATATATATATATATATATATATATATATATATATGTTCAAATTTTATTAACAAAAATTAATGGAAACAATTAGGTGGACACTCTCTTTTAATATCATAGTTCTTTGGTATATATAAAATTTCTTAGTTCTTTAAATATTATTTTATATTATGATTATAATGCTTAAAAATATATATGATTATATAAGACTCAAAATATGTGTAGATTATTTATTCTATATAAATTTTAAAATGTCATTCTTAATATAAAATAAGAGTATAAAATATAAAAACATAAAAAAGCCATTAAGATGCATATGAGAAGCTTGTAGATTGAAATAAGGTCTTGCTTATAACATCTTTTGTTAACAAATAGAAGATATGTGCTAATATAATTTGACATGGTCTTATGTTGATCTTACCAAATTTTTAATTCATACAAACTTTAGATACCTTTAAGTTTTAGATACTAATAAATCTTTGATCATAAGTAACTTATTCTACAAAAGTCTTCAATTTTTAACTAATTTAAAACCATCACTATTTACTGATTATCCATATTTTTTAAAGCATTCTTAAAATTATTAAACAAAATTAGAATTTTGGACAACAAAGATGAACTAATTTCTATGTTTTATAAAAGATATTGTATCAAATAATTTTATTTCTTACATCCTACTTTTAAACATCATAATGAAAGATTTTAAAATAAAAATAATACTATAATAATTTATATTATTTAAAAATTAAAAGTTATATTTTTTTATTGTAATAATCTTTAATTTAATTATAATAATTAGATAGGAATATAGTCCAAAACTAAGTTTTAGTTTTTATATTTTAGATTTGTTAAAATGCATTACAACCCATATATATATATGTTTGTGTGTGTGTGTTATTTACTAATATAGATATTTTATTTTATTTCTAAAATTTTATGTAAAATTTTATAAGTGAAATAAATTTCTAGATCTAACTTTTTTTTTTAAAAAAATACTATACTATTGATATTAATGAGGAATGTCTAAATTATATCGAGATATGTTCTCATACATTTCCAAGCTACTTTATTCTCTTATAGTGTATGTATGTGGTTGAATTAGTTATCTTTTGATCTTGTTTTTTTTAATTGTCAAAGGTTATATATATTTATATAATTTCCTTTAGAGTGCAATCATACAATACATAGTTATATATTCTATATTTTTTGTGACATATACAAAATATTTTGATGCATTTATAGAAAAATCATTAAAGAATTATAACAACATTTATGAAATTATTATATTATGCCCTTCCAAGTGATTAAATAGATATATGAATATATATACACGACTATATATATATATATATATATATACAGAGAGAGAGAGAGAGAGAGAGAGAGAGAGAGAGGGATTTTATGTTTATTAGATTATGTTTATTGAATGAGATGCTTGAAGACTAACCACCCTTGCCCGGGAAAAGATCCAGACGTGCCCGAACGAGGTTTCGGTGCGTGGCTGGCTGGAGTCACGCGATGGCGGCAGACGCCGAGCTGCTGCTCTTCGCTTCGCCTCGCTTCGCCTCGCTACTGCTACTCTCTGCCTGCTGCTTTCCAACTCGCCGCCGCGAGTCCCCTCCTCCTCCTCTCGCTCCCGCTCCTTACCTCCATCGCTGCCTCGTCGATCCTCGCTCTCCCGGCGAAACCTTTTCACCTACCTGCTGCGCTTCTCTCACACCTATTCTTCCGTCGATTTGTAGCTCACATTTCAGGCCCCTTTTGCCCCTTCCCACCTCCCCCTTCATCGCTTCTCTTTCCTTCTCATTCCAGTCTGGTGTGTCAGTTGTTTTGAAGCTCGTCGTTTTACCACGAGTTTATGTTACTGGTCTACTGAAGATCGCTCAGGAAGAGTTGAGAATTTTGGTGTTGTGAGAGCGGTTTCGGGAGTTGGATTGCGAATTCTGGTAGTCTGTGTGGAGTGGGAACTGGGGCTGTGCTTAGAGTTTCTGGAAGGTTTACGTTGCGATGGGTGGTTCTTTAGAAGATTGAGCTGTTTCGGGCGGTGGAATTGATGTCTGGAGCAGTTGGAGAAGACATCCGTCGTGGTTTTTGGGTGCTTTGAATTCGGTTCCTTGGACTTTATTGCGCTTCGAGCGCTTTGACCTGGCCGAGGTATTGTCTTGCTAGGGTTTGGCTTTCAATTCATGTCTATTTTTATTTTTTTATTTTTTACGACTGATCTGGCTGTGGACATTCTTGACGCATTGTCCCGTTGTATGGTGTTGCTGGGTTCTCTTGCTTCATTATGTTTGGTTCTCAACGATGGGTTTCATGTTGCGTTGCTTCCCAAAGTGATCAAATGCATCTGATTTTCACAATCTTTGTGTTAATACTGCCTGGTTTCTTCTATGCTTAAACTCGTGGAGAAATAATTTGAACTTCGTGGTTTACTTATAGCATGTACCGGAGGTGATAATTCAGCGTCTACATATATCATGTTCATCTAGTTCTAAAATGAATTGGGAATTTTGTGGTCTTTCATTATGTACAAAATGTTTCCCAAGCCTTTGTTACGCTGCTTGTGAAACTTTCTGTGAGGCAGCCAATACATATTTTCCTCTTTATTTTGCATGTATTATATTTAATGATTATATTTTGACGATTACGTGTATGATTGGGAACATGGATGGGACCTTGGATTTTGCTGGAGTTTGGAATATGAACTGCCGATTACGGCTTTAGAGGTAGAGCGACCAAGAAGTGTATCCTGATCTTGATCTTGCAATTTTTTCATTGTTTCCCTGATTAGGACGTAATGAAACGAGCCACATAATAGCATTTGAGAAGGGGTGTAATTAAAATCCTCACAACAAAGTGTTGATCTCGGAATTTAATCTAATTATGAGCACCACAAACTCGGAGTCCGAGGTCCAGAGATCATGCGAGGAAGAGGACAAGACGGAGAACGGATACTCGCACGAGGAGAATGGGGACATGACCAACAATGGATTGACTTCAGCATCCTGGCGTGCCTCAAGCAGAGCTAAAAAATCTCAACAATCTCTGCTCACGCTGGCTTTTCCTATTTCAAGAGTACGCAGGCTTGTGAAGAGTGAGGGCGATATTCAGTGGGTGGGTGTGGAGGCTGGCTTTCTCATTGCCAAAGCCACTGTAAGTATTGTTATGACTCACTGAATGTCCCGGTGGCAGATATTGTAAACATAATGTTGTATAGGAGTAGTGTGACCATGCAGTAGTTGATGTTAATAATGAAATTTTATTTTTTGGTATTCGAAGTTCACTCTTGTTTGCATTTGGTTGTGCAGTGGTTCTTGTTTTCTGCAGTCTGCAAATAGAATCAAAGCTGTGGTTGTGATAGTTTGGGACTAAAATTGTCGATTCTGGACGACAGGAAATTTTCTTGGAGAAGCTAGTTGAGGATGCTTTTGAAAGGATGCAAGGCAACGGGCAGGCATCGATCCTTTATCCCCATTTATGTACGTTCGAGTTTCTCAATCATAGTTTCAATTACTGCTGCTTTGCTGGAATGAACTGCCTTTAGTAAATACCAAGTCTTCACCCTTTTCTACAGGAACATTAGTTTAGAAGAATGTTTCTGCAAGTCTAGTGGGAATCCTTTAAGATTTATACATCAAAACTCCTTTAAGATTTATTCTTTCATTTTTTCCAACGGACAATGAATTTACTATTTGTATGTTGAATTGTCGATCAGCATCTCATGTTGCGAGTTCGGAGAGACTGGAATTTCTTTCAGGTTAGCTTCTCGAAGTTCCGCTGTATACATGTTTCTGCTCTTCGTTATCCGAGTTCAGATTTTTGTTGTTTGAACGTTAAGTGTAACAATTTGTATCCTTTCTACTTCTAAAATCAACTGTACTCCGTAGAACCTTTTCTTTTCTTGGACAGTCGATGAATTATTTGTCATCAACTCTTCAAGAAATCTGGCTAGTTGAACCAATTTTTCAGCTAAAAGGGCCGTTCATTAAGCATGTATTTGTTGGCCATGATATGCGTAGATATAGTGCCTGTGAGGATTCCAGCTGCAGCTGCTCTTCGAAACGCTTCAATGACCGACAAGTAGGTCTATTAACACATCCTACTCGGGCGCTAAGTGCCTACTTAAGTCATCACAAACCTTCTCAAGCAGATGTCAACCAGGTAGTGCACCAGGATTTTGGGCTTGATAGTTTAACTTACCGTGAAAGCATGAATCACCGTAGATGCATGTAAATTGTGCAACAAAGTCAACTTGGATTAGTGGTAATTAGGATTTCAGAAAGTCTACTCCAGGATAACCTTATCTAAATATAATTGTATAATGACCAATTGCAAGGCATTTTAACATGTGTTTACTATCTATGATCTTATCTTACTGTGTTCAATTTCGTGTGCATATCTTGTTAGTCTTGATTGTGTTATAACTTTTTTCCATGTGTATTTTTCAACGAATTGTGGATCCATGCATAATTAGGTTTTTGGAACAAAAGATTGTTTTGTTGTTGATGTAATTTGTTGAAAGAATATACTACATATTTGTAAGACATAGTATTTTTGGATATTAGGTATATTTGTAATTAGAATTTTTTGAAGAAAGTTAGACTTTTATTAAAGAATTATTATTGATTGTTGCAAAGATTTACATATTTGTAACCTAAAGAACAAGAGATTGTATTGGTGTTAAGATATCTTGTTGTTGAGAAATTAAAATATACTTGCCAAATTAAAATTTTTCAACAAATATCATATATAAGTATGTTTTTCGAAATGAAATTCATTGAAGGAAAGTCTTGAATACAAAATTTTTTTTAGTATATCTTAAATTTATTTAAAGCAATGAATAGTATTTTGGAATAAAATTATATAATTTTTTAATTTTTGTCTTGAGTATCTCAATATACAAAATATGAAGAATCCTCAAATTATGGTAAGTGGCTTAGATCTAGATTCAATATATATATATATATATATATATACATATATTTTAAAAAGTGTAATAAAAATTAACAATAAAAGACTTTATTTTCAAGTTGTAGAATAATATGTCCTATATACTTAATAGAAATATTACATTTTGATGGATAGTAGTGCAATAATTTAGAAGTACATTCAATAAATGCAAAGTCAACCTTTTAAATAAAATATTAAAAAAAGATATCAATATGGATTTTACAGATTTGCAAAAGATAGAAATAATCACTATATATTTAAATTAAAAAACTTGCTTTATAATCTCAAATAATCACCAAAAATATGTGATCAACACATTTATACTCTTCTTATAAATGAAGATTTCATAAATAACAAAGCAAATCATGTTTATTAAAAACTTAATTTCTTTGCAATAAAACTAAAGCAAAAGTCAAAGGGGTTGTATCTTTGTAAACAAAGAACTTATAAAATAAGTTATTTATGATACTAAAATTTTAGACCTTCAAAATAGAAGATGGAAAGGAGGGGAGGTAGATCAAGTTAAAATTGAAAAATAAGGATGTCAAAAAACCATAAACACTCATATAATCATAAATTCTAATTCTAAACTTTTATATTTCTAAATCTTTAAATTTTTAATATTTAAAATTCTTAATTCTAAATCCTAATCTAATAAACTCTAAACACCAATCCTAAACCTTATAAATTCTAAATCCTATAAGTCCTAAATCACAATGTAAATGATCTATCTTTAAACTATGTATTTTAAATCTAATATAAATATGCATAATTATGAATTAGTGTGAAAAAAACCACTTTAAAATAATTATTTTTATTTATGTTGTGAAAAAAGTCTTAAAAAAATTGATTTAAAAAAATGATAGTGGAAAAAAATTTATTTTGTTGTTTTTAAAACCTTATATTTTATTTATTTATTTATTTTGAAGTTTTTAATCATATATATATATATATATATATATATATGGATTTGATTGCATAAAATAAAGACAAAAGTTTATTTAAAACTTCTACTAGATTTTATATACCAAAAGTCTAAAACCAAAGTCAAAGTGCAATATCTTCTAAACCAAGAACTTTTAAAGCAAGTTATCTATGCCATTAGAAACTTAGACCTTATAATAATAGAGGCAAGTAGAAGAAATATGGAAGTAAGTTAAGTCAAGTCAAGGAAAAAAATAATATAAAATATTAAGTACATCCATATGATTTAAAACTCATAATTTAAATTCTAAATCTTAAATTTATAATATGAAATATGGACAAGTTATGATTAGTTATATATTGATTAAATAAATTATATAATTTTCTATATTTAGCCGAATTATTAAAAACATATCATATACATGAGTATTAGAATTTGATTGTAGTAAAGAGTTATAAATGAAAATAATAATACTACAATATTTATGATATTCTAATCATAACTTAAGTTAGCATATAAATTATACAACATATATATATATCAAAATGACTTATACCTAGTTGCATGGTAGCAAATCATGAGATAATAATGTGAAAAAATAATATATCATGTATTTTTAAAAATGAAATCAAAATTGCATGGAGTATATTCTATATTGATGTGCTTTAATTAAATAGAGCTCTATACTTTGATAGATGTGAAGTAAAATGATTTTTAAATAAATAAAAAAATCCTTTAAAAAATAATATTATTAATTTTGATAGATTTTTATAAATTTTCAGTTTCAAATTTCTTTTGATATTTTTTTGAAATTCTCACATCTAATGTGATTGATAGAATTTTAAGAAGTCTAATTCTATCAATATAATTAGATTTGTAAATCTAATTAGAAAATCTTCTAAAACTAATTATTTTGACATTTTTCTTTTCTTCAAATATGACAAGATTTTAAATCTTCATAATATCTTTACCAATGGATAAAATTTGAAGAAAAATTTCTTCTAAAGCCTCACATTATTGAATTGAATCAAACATATCAAACTTCTAAACTTTCCACAAAACTTCAATAATTTCCAAATATAAAAGGTCCTATTCTTCCAAAGTATTACACTTTTCAATCCAATTCCAATCCCTTCCAATTCATATGACTTTTAGTTTCTTCAAAAATTTCAAGATTTCAAAAGGAAAAAAAAAAAAAAAAAAAAAAAAAAACTCTTTCTTCAATTTTAATTCATTTTAAACTATTTAATTCTTCTAATGCAAATAATTTCTCCAATTTATATAGAAATTCTATTAAATTCTCACATTTGAAAAAAAATTAGTATCTTTATATAAATCAAGCTTTCAAACCTTTCTTTCAACTTTTTAAAATTTTAGCTCTTATAGAACCAAAATTCCTCAAATACAACTAAATTCTTTAATCTAACTAAAACTCCTTCAAAGATTCATATTTTCACATGTAGTATATGACCAGACTTGCTCTATAGATTCTTAATTTGCATGATACAGGCACTTTGACCTTGAGTTAAGGTTAATTGCAAATTGTTGAGGTTTTTGTTACAATCCTTTGTGATTAATTTTTAGAAACATAACTTCAAAAGTTAAAGATGGTGAAAGTTCCTACAAATTTTTCTTCATGTAAAACTAGCTGATTTTTTATATGAATTTTTTAAAATATAAAATAAATACCAAATCTAATATTTATACATCAAAACTTTACAAGCAACTTGTTCTTTGTACAAAGTGGTTGCCTAATGTATGAATGCATTACAAAACATATAAGTGTGTTTATTAAATATTATAAAACTAAATCATTTTTTTAAAAAATAGAGAGGTGTTAAAAAGCAAGACAACATATTAATTAAATGTGACAAAAAAATACTTCTCTTATGAATAAATAAAAATAAAAATAAAAGCTAATTGTTTAAATTATGATGTGTCTATAAATATGAGTAACAACAATAATCAAGAATATATGGGAAGACTTAGGGGAAAAAAATTGCATTATAATACATAGGACAAGCCAATAATAATATCCTTATAATCATATGATTAATTCTTGTGAACTAATCCTATAATGGTATGCAAAACCTTTATTGGTCGGGTCATGAACCTTAGCCTTATATGCAAGACCTGTACCAATTTGATGACATGCAATCTTCAAATTATTTTTAAATAATTTTTGTACTGAATGTCATTTTGTGATTTATAAAGCAAGATGCTGACTATGCTCTTTATCATAAACATTATAGTATTTTGTCTTATTTTGATATAATCAACCACTACAATTCTTTTTAGCATTACAAAAGTTTTCATGAAGCATGATGTTTTTAGACAAAATTGTTCACATGTACAATTCTATAAAATCTGTTCTCCATGAACTGCTCTTCAGAGCTAAGTATTGTTCAATATGTGCCTCGAAGTAACTCATATACAAAAAGGACTCACTAATTCTTACACTTTTACAATAAACACAAATTTACTCTACCAATTATTCTTATTGATTCCAACAGTCAGTCGAGTAGTGCTAATGTTACCTCCAGATAAGCTCTGCACTCTTGGTTGTAAATTCTTGATTGTAAATGGTTCTTAGTTGTTGATTGAAAAACCCAAGTGCCGAATCACATTGCTGCTAAATTTGGTAGATTAGATTGCAACTACACGAAACCAGAAAAGTTACAACATTGAACAGGATTAAACATGGCCAATCTATCCATCATGATGGTCCAGAACTATCCACAGGCCCAAAACATCTATCTGATTCCAAGTTCTGGTGTTTGATCATCTACAATAAGGTCCGCATATTTCTCATATAATGTTGTGGCAATCTCCAATGCGTCACCCTTAGCTACAGTAGGATACAAGTTTGATGCAACTTGCCACTCATTCGTCAAAGCAATCCACTCTCGTCTCCATTCTTGAAAAGCGAAAGACGTGTTTTCATGAAGAGATTGCTTCAAGTACTTGATGTAGATTGAAGCTCTTGGAAGGTAGTAGTCACGAGTCAAGCCACTCCACATTTTGTTTGCTGGAAAGTTTCATCACGGATTAGAATAGCTCATATTTCTCAATAATTTACATTAGTTGGTCATTGCGAATATGGAAGGGTCCATGATCATTCAAATACAAAAGAATGATTGCACTCATTCTTGCAACAACTCACATACACATACATACTGCGGTATCCATTAGATCTGTGTATGACCACCACCTAGTCAAACAAGAAATTGTAATTTACCGTAATCATGAAGAGGGCTTGGTTTGTCAAGAGTGTTATCGAACCACATTGTGATCTGCGTTCTGGCATTCCACTCATACTGCAACATCGAGGGCAAATGTTAGAGTTAGTTGACAATATGGTACACAAATGCAATCATGTTATTTAGTGAATAAACAAACTGAGAAACGCCATTGTTCAGTAAGGTCTTGCAGAGTGTTTTACATCAACAATCATGAAACAGTTATGTACAACTACATGTTGAAAAGGTAATCATTGAAAGACCAGAAACTGGATAATATAGCATCATCTAGAGCTGAAATAGTGTTAATCCTTCGAGAACAGGACAGCGAATATTTTCGGCATTTACGAATTCAAAATACTGCCCATGTTACTCTCTCAAGCAACTATCAGTGATTAAAAGACGGTCTAGCAGACTCACGAGCTTCCTTTCTTCGTCAGAAGTAGCAAGATCCTTTGCACTTTCTAGCCAAGTTCCAAGTAAAAACTCCTCGCTAGCACCCAGTAAATCATCCATATCAGAGAGAAGCTCCAAAAGGCGACTGCTTATATTGTCCATTTTCTCAACGTTGAACATTCTGAATTGATCTAGAACTTGTGAATGAAGTTGGTTCGCTAGTTTTGAAAGCACTTGCCGTGTCAGATCCACAACATCGTACCTGCCGATTGAATCCAATGTAATAAAAGTGTGTAGTCAATTCCCCAGTGCACCAAGTCCCTCAGATCACTTAGAACATGACTCATATTGACCAAACACTCTAGTTTGGATGCTTGCCATAGAAACGAAGCAAAGAGTTTAGAGGTCAGGAAGACTTTTGATTGAAAGCTAACCTGTAGGGTTTGCTTAAACCCAACGCATCAGCTGAGGAGAGAAGATACTGTAGAGCCACAGCAGCATCTTGTGGAGAGTACCAAATATGTTGAGGATGACCCAGAATTTGTTGACCTAATGACTGACGAGGTCGGATTTGAAAGAGGGACCGCTTCGGATCGATATCGGGAAACTCAACTATAACATCTCCATTATGATCCTGCCAATATCCAAATGAAAAAAGGGACATGAAGATTTCGGACATATAGAATGCTATAGGTTATTTAATTAATTTTCTATTCAAACAATGAACCTGTTGTTCGAAATGAAGACAGTATATGGTGACTTCTATATGGTTGAGGATTCACTCGCAAATCCAACAGAAGCCCATATATAAAGGCGAGAAAGCAATTGTCATAGAAAACATAGTTGAAGCAGGAGATGGTAATTCCGAGGCCCACCGCAATTCCATCTGAGCAGTTGTATATAGATTCGTGTAGCATCTTCCATGCTATTCGAGCACCAGCTGTTAATTCTCCATATCGTCTCCTTGCATACTCCTCAATCCAATCCTACACAACCTACAAGCCTAAGAACGAGTTTGCACAAGTACTTTGATCCTCAAAGACATGCCTTTTTTTCACACCTCAAGTAAATGACCAAGAAACTGAGTAATCGTGCTTTCCCTTATCTAGTTGATCCCATCATCAGATACGAATCACTAAAACACAACAACATAATCCAACCAAACTGCAAAGAAAAATCACGGTATGTAGTTGGAGAAGAACCCGTACATAAGTAACCAATAGGATTTTACAGTTCAAGTAAGTGGATATAATGACTGACCTCGACAACGACGGTTGCATTGTGAAATGCCATTTCAGCCATCAAGTCATACACAACTGGGTTCTGCTCAATGCCTTCCATACACATGCCAACACCTACCTGCCAGACTCAACACACAGTGAAGAAAGAGACGATTAATACACGCCCCGATAACATTCTTTGCTGTATTACAACCAACCAAAACTTTCACCAATCCTACGCAAGAAGTCAACAACTACGACGACTAAACGAAAAATCTGTGACTGCTGGGATTCGAGCCCAGGTCTCCACGGCCACAACGTGGAATTCTCACCACTAAACTACAGCCACCTGCCACTACTCGATGATTACATCGAGCTCCACAGTTTAAGTAGCTGAAATCAAGGGGCCACAGGCAAATATAGTATCGGAGGGACTTCCGCCTCTTACCATGGTAGAATTGGAGCTGGTTACTGCTTGAATTGGTGCAGTAGCCACCACATCAAGACGTCCATACATCTCCACGTTACCGCCAAAATTATGCAGCATGCACCTGAACTTGAGTGAAGCAAATAGAGATTGCAATGGTTATTCTTTCTCTCGATTACAGCGCATTTCTGTTTCATCTGAAACCCCATAAGATGATGGCACAGTTTCAAGTTGCTTCACTTCGTAACTGAAATGTTCTAGACATCTGCTCCAAGCTCTAAAGACACAGGTTTTACGGTTGGTTATCTGTAAGAAATAGATTTTACCATATATACGGAACGCCATAAAAGTGATCTGACCGCGACCACATAGGTTTCACGTCTGCGAAAAGATCCAGAACTACCATTCTCCCAACCGGGACTGAGTGTAGAAGAGCCTGCAGAGGAAATCATAAAATTTGAGCTGATAAAGAACAAATATCAAAGAAATAGAATCGACGGTAGAGGTTTGTTACAATCAGGGAAATCATAAAGAAGCAAGGTTAGTGATGAAATGAGACCTTCATCTGTGGAGGCTTCCAAAACTTGTCGTCTGAAGCGAACAACCAACCCTGTACAAGTACATATTTAGAAGTTATGCAAATGATGATAGTGAAAGCCTTGTCAAACCAAGCACCGAAAAAAAAAAACAAAACAAAAAAAAACAAAGGATACGACTTTCTTCTGGTTGGCTTCAGGTTATGAATATTTTTACATGTGCACTTATCTACGAGTGAGCCAATCATTTCAAGATGATTTAAGATAGAAAAATAGGGGCTGGACAAGCCTGCATAAGCCAGATTGCATCTTGATCAGCAGCGCTCATGGCTTCATAAACAATTGAACCTAGAGCTGAAATATATGATGGATCATCTGTTGGTGGCTGATTCTCATTGAAGGTATCACTGCAAAATAAAAAGTGGATTCCATTCAACTCAGTCTTCTGGACAAATTAGCGAACTGGTCCATGCATTAAAGCTAAACAAGGAGCGCAGATACGAGTATATGGTTGCACTTGTAAAAACAGGAGTACTAACAAATCAGTAGGGCTCACCAGTTGTAGATGTGTTGAGTTCCACCATACTCTGAAACAACCATTGTAAGTCAGACTAACATATCTGTCATATCAAAATATCATCTCCAAAAAAATATTGATCTAATGAAATCAGGAGCTCCAAAAATTATAAAAATCGGATACAAACAGAACACAGCCGGATAAACAATTGATGAATACGTAATAGCATTGGAAGTGACATCATGCATTGGAACCGAAAATTTGGAATTGCTGCAGATATGTACTACAGAAAAAACACTGAAACTCATCAGGAACTTAGGATCAGTGACTTTATGAACCTTTGATCTGTTGGAGAATAAAAGCCTTTCCAATGTCCACAAATAACGGATCTTTGGGGTCCAAGAGGAAAGTACAGCAATATCGCGTGTCACCATTGACTGTGTTCCTGCTCAGGTAATAGATATAGGTTATTCACTTTTGTCCTGAAATATTACCGCATCCCATCTAACAATCATCAGATGTTTCAATTCTAAAGTGGAAATAAATTGAGATACAAAGTAATCAGCTAGAGAGACGTTCAAGTGCAGCCTACAGCCCCTGTATACGAGAGTGGCATTCTAAGGAACTGACAACTAGATAAGAAGCAGATGCAAAGATGTAAGATGACATCAAAAGGATCATGGAAACCAGTTATGTTTAAACGGCCAAGATTGAAAAAGAATAGGTCTTACCATTCTCCCAAGCGAGTCACTCTTGCGGAAGGATATTTCTTAGTAATGGCAGCGGGAACATTACCCGCAAATGCTGGTAGAACTGCGATATGAGGAAAAAGTACATTGTAATCCAAACAGTCAGATAATACATAATGTGATAGCATTGAGAATGATCATGCAAACAAGAGAAAGATTAAAAAATAAATAAATAAATAAATAAATACCAGGTGTCATCCCAAGCTCCCGCATGCGTGCTAAAATTTTGATTTGTAGCTGCAGTTGTTGATCAAGCCATTTCTGTGGTAACGGACCTCCCCACCTACTAGGCAAAACATACTTATGTGGAAATAGATAGAAGTAAGATAGAACCAGCTCTAAATCTAGATTGGATATGAATTCAGCTCTATGCCTGTCAATAATCATACCAAAACATACTGAATTTGTATAAACCACACCACTAGTTTTGTGGAATGAATATAAAAGAACCAACAGTAATGCCAAACATTTTAAAAAATTAACGAAATTGAGGTGAAATCTCTCACCTCTTCAAGTTGCCCATTCGAGCCCAGGCAAGAAAGCCTGGTCCACCAAAATAATCATCCAATTCAGCCTTGGTTAAGTTGAACGTTTCACTCTGTCAACAACTCCCCCACCACTCATGATAATATAAATAACAAATCAATCAAACAAATCAAAGTCCTTCATGGCAATAGGCTCACCAAATTACTATTCCCAGAATCAGAGGCACACTACCTTGTTCCAACACTTTAAAATGGTTCTCAAGTCGCTTATTTACCCTATTAATGCTTGACGTGTTGACCTGTCTACGGATGATAATGTCTCATGCATCACGTATCCCATTATTAAAGAGAAGGATCTTCCTACCAAAATTTCAATTGGTTGCTAAAGACCTAAGCTTTTTACTCGCAAACATCTCTCTTTGGGCTCTGAATATTAACACAATTGGCATAAAAACCTGTTGTACTTCAGAATACAAAGACATAAATTTCGATTAGTGTTGGTTTTAGCTACTAAACTGCTCGGAACATTAGAAAGGTATTGACTGGTATGTCTGCAAACTCATTAACAAAGCAAGAGTTTCCCTCCGGTAAACTCAATTTACACCGCAAGTAATTCAGTCGGAAACACTTCCAAAAATTCAACCCACCTGGAAGACCTTCTGCCAAACAGCCTCTTGCCCTGTGAATGCAAGAGGCAAATTGATACCTTGCAATGCCATCCAATCTATTTCTTTTTCCCATCGCTCCCAGGTCCACCACACATATGAATCTACAGTAAGAAGGTTAAAGAGTCAGATTCTGAGGCACATAATTTAAGGCAACATTGTTCGGTCTTCTCATTTTCACATATAAAATTGAGTACACTGTAAGTACGCCTATCTTTCATGAGCAGAACTGCAAATATGATGATAAAAACAGATTCCAAAAACACCTAATATACACTTCTCATCATCAACGGCGGAGTTGTCAAAATTTCAACATTATCTCAAGCTGCTCAAGATACATACAGCTTGATGTGACGACGTTTTGGTAGTAGTTCCAATCAACAGGTCGTTGAATTGTAAGGGTATCGCCTTGCAGTCGTGGCAGAAACCCAGGTCTATGCACAGTATGAAGCTGAGCTCCTCCGGTCTTGTCCCAAGAAATATGCCCATTACACCAATGTTTCAAGTACCAATGCAAGCCAGCACATAGCTCAACGCCTGTTGTCCCCGAAATCCTGAATTCGCTTAGTTAGCACATGCACTTACGTACTGGACCGAAACTGCACACACCGAGAAGACTGACGAGAGCATACATACACTGGATTCAGACTTAACCTGGTTAAGGACATCTAGGTTCAAATGCATCCAGTTTAACATCTCAGTATACCAAGCGAAGACTAAATCCTCAAGAAAAACTTCTAAACACCAAGCTGGCAGTCATATCAACCCAAGAATAACACAATAATTGCCCAAAAAGGTAAATCAGTTGTGATTTGTATCTAAAGCAATCTGCATAACACCAGAAAACATACTCAAGTGAATGGTTGTCAGCATGGAAAAAGACCTTATTTCAGGCGCTCCTCCATATACTCCTGCAGATGGATGGTTTTGAAGGAGAAAACAGAATTTACCTCCACATTCCTCCTGTGACAGTACCATGTTTGAGAAATGTTCTTCAAAACCCTAACTTCTAATCTTCAAAATGTCCACTGGACAATCATCATTCCACTAGAATTCAGGCACTTAAACTCTCGAAAACGGTTATGTTTCTCCTAGGGTTCATATTTCAGCAAATGTAGATAGTAGTTATGTAGACTATAAAAAATACACAAGTTAATGCATAGGGCTCCAAAACCCCCAAAGTGTACCTTTGTGATGATACGGAACTCAAAGCTTGATAGATGGCTTGGGAGCAACCGCGCAAGTACATCGTACGAAGCGCGCTCTTGAGTTGAAGCTGGTGCCTTCTCTGACTGTATCTTGTTCAGAACTGTTTCGTACTGGGGTACATGGCAGTCGGAGAAAGTCACAACAACTAAAAGAAAATAAGCGAACCATATCTTCAAAGTAACGAATACTGCCATGGTTTACGGCAAGGTCACTGGATCAATGCGATGCGTGCTTCACCATCCTCATCAGCCCGGTTCTTATCCTGCAAACCCAAAACAGAGCAGCACACCCATCACATCAATCAAATGAACAACTAACGCTGAAATTAGTGACTATCAACAATGACCACGATGAGAAACATAATTGTTGTCGTGGCCTCAAACACTGGTATTGAAAATTAACATGAAGCGAATGAATGAACTTCATATTCATATCCAGAACCTGCTTTGTGCAATGAAACAGTGCAGGAAATTCAAAGACAGCTAAAAAGCAACCAAAACACTTCCAAGCTTTCCTGATGCAAACCGATCGATCAGTCAAAGGCACCAACGGATAAGCTCTTCAATATCCAACCACATGCACAATACCTCATTACCAAAGCAGTCATTCTAATAAAGAACTCCGCCATAAATCATCGCTACACGCCAGCTCCTCGGTCACACACTAAAGCAATCTAATTCCCTCACAGGGCATCCTTACTGCCAAATGGCATATCTAACCAACTTCAAGAAAAAGAAGAACCATATAACATCATTCAATCATCGTTCGCTCTTCTCAAGCTTTCAGGATTCCATTCCGACTCCAAAGGAAAACCCTATAAATTCAACCAGTGTCAGACTCCAAGCTACCAACCAATCCAGAATCTTTGATACCTTCGTCAAATGCAAAGCTATTGGATGGACTAAACACACCAACAAACTAAAGCTTCGATATCAATCCAAATTCCCCAATACCCGCCAACCAATCTAACATTCACGCAATGAATTCCGCCTTAAACCGTCACAACCACAGAAAACTACCAGTCGAATATTCTCACTCACTCGAGCTTCAATCTTGTCCTCCAACGTCAAATTGCGACCATCACATCACCTTCAAAAACAGAGCCAAAGAGTTGAAAGTGTTCAAGACTCACACGTATACTTCCCCTGTTCTCCTCCAGCTCTCATACCTTCATACCGACGTCAAAGAGAACCTCCATAAGCTTGATTATTACAAGGAAAATGAGATATCTGTACAGAAAAAGCGTCCGCAATGCCGTAGCGGTTCTGGAGGATGGATTAATGGCAAGCAAAGCAGCGCAGAATGAGAACAGACTGCACAGTAGAGCAAGGGCGATGGCATCCAGTAAAGGAGAAGTTTTCCATGCCAGTTCTGAGATGGAACAGGGATCCCGCCTCTGCGACCGTTTTGCGTGGAATTCCAAGTCCACGTCACCGTGACTGGATTCTTACCGGGATCCCTGTGGCCTCGCGAAAGTCTAAAAATGTACCTTGATCTTTTAATTACATGTTTACTAATTCTATGTAGAAACAATTCTATAATCAGTTCAAAAATGAAAAGTATGGTTGTTGGTTTTGACTGCTTAGAATGATCTTTATGGAACTAGCTAGTTTTTTGAAAGTTTGCTTCTTCAAATATAAAACGTGTTTGTTGATTTTTCACATAATTGTTTCAATTTACTAATTATTTCTTATATCTGTGCTCCATTTGAAATTATAAGTTGACTTAGGTTATGCTAGATGATTTATTTTGTCTCAAGGTGGCATGAAAATATATATAAATGCACATCCATACATATACGTTTTAAATCTATATGTAGATTATACATGTATAGATTACACATATATGTGCTTTTTACCTTATATACAAAATTTCCATTCTAATTTTGAAACATATATCTTTCTAAACTTTCATTTTTTGTTTCTTACTTATCCGTTTATTGTACTACTTTGTAAAAACATTGTTTAAACTCATGCCCTTGATACCCTCTTTTTTTAATAAATAATGATATTAAATCAAAAATAGAATAGTATCTTGCAACCTTAAATTATATTTATTAGAGTACACAATTTTTTAGGCTAAGTATGGCATATATTTATGTTTCAAAATATAAAAATTCAATTTTTTGTATAATCACTTATTGATTGTCATATATCTTAGTGACAAATCAAAAAAATTTAATTATCTTTGCATAAACGTTTTAGCAAACTTTTTAGGTTTAGAACTTAATTTTTGTATTGTATTGTAGTTACACAATATATTATGTACTACCCTTGCTAACATCTCAAGCTATAGGCAACTTGCATGATAAATATTGTGAGTTAAGAGTTAAGAGTTAAGAGGAATTTTATACAATTATTTTTAAAATAGTAATGATTACATGTGCTATTTTACAATAATTCATGGTCATATTAAACTAGTTAGAATAATTATATTAGATCAAATATAAATATTTTATATATTATGTTTTAAATATTTTAATTTTTAGATTTAGGAATTAAATTTAAATTTTTTTCAAAAATAATTTTTTATATACCTACAAGAGGCTCACTTGAACAATAAATATGGCTTTAAAGCGGTTTTAAGCATAGATTTGTCCAATCTTACACAAAAAAAAGTGAAGATGTAAAAACCACAAATTTTAACATTTGAATGTACTTTACTATTAATTACTAAGAATATACTAAAAAATCTTTAGCTTTGAATGTTGTAAGAAAATCTTTTTTAAAACACAATTCTAAAGCATCAAACTTGGAAGAATATATGTTGGTATAATCAAAAGTAAAGTAGTAAAATTTTTTGTTAAGCAATTAAAGAGGCTAAAATTCTTTTAAAAAAAATACAACTAATTGCATTTTTCTTTGTTTTTTTTTTCTTTGTTTTTTCATGTTTATGAGCCTCAATTTTTCAAAAAATAAAAAATAAAAAAATGATGTATTTATTTTTTAAAATTTTATGATGAAGATTTTGTGTATATTTCAAAATGAAAACAGAAGGGATTTCATAATATAGAATGTGAAAATGGTGAAAAAATTAGGATTATTATATTAAATTCAATACACATGTTAATTATTTTGGAATATAAATGTTGTAGTTATTATAAATGTTTTTGATAAAAAAAAACTTGCTTGGACGAATAATTTTTTATAGATAATAATAATTTTTTCATTATGTGAGAGTTATTAAATAATTGGTAATTTTTAGATAAATTTATTATTTTAAAAAATAGTAATTTAATTGATTGTACAAACATTTTAAAATATGGTGAATTTTTTGGAGTAAAAGAAAAAGAAAAAAAAAACTTAATGAATAAGAATAAATATATATACACATTAATGATTTATAACTTTGAATCTTCTATAATTTTCTGAGAAAGTAGAATATATATTTCAAATTTTTTTTAATTTTTTTAATAAAAAAGATAATTCTGAAATTCTCATGACTGACTTTATCAAAATTATTTTGATTAGTAAAATATTTCTCTTCTTCTTAATTTCAAAAGGTTGGGATTTCTATTCTAATGTTACAAAATATCACTAGAGGTTTATACACTATAATACATTAAATTATAAATAAATAAATAAATATTTAATTTATTTTAAAATTATAATAAATAAAAAATAATAAAAAATAATAAAGAATAACAAAAAATAATTCATTCTTGAAATCAACTTTGCTTTTATAGGATTTTTTTTTTTTTTTTTTTTTTTTTTTTTTTCAAATTACATCAAGGATGATTGTAGTTTGTTAATTGTTAATGATTTTTTTTTATTTTATTTTAATAAAAAGAAAATGATGATCTTATTTTAAATCTATTAAACATATATTACATTGATGCATGTAATTATAAATTTATGAAGAAAAAAAAATATGTTTATATAATCAACTCTTATTGTAGTCAACTTTGGATTGTAATCAATCTATTATGCCAATCCTAGTTTGCACTTTCAAAGGTAACTTATACTCTATAGTGAATAATTTCTTTAATTCCAAGTAATTAATTATAAATACGTATGTGTATGTATATCTCTCTCTCTCTCTCTCTCTCTATATATATATATATATATATATATATATATATATATACACACAAATGTAAGATGTTTGTATGCAAAATCCACAAAGCAATTTAAATTAAAAGTATTTAAATAAGTATTATTATTAAATAAATATTAAAGAAAATAATTAATATAAAACATATATTCATAGTAATTTTATTAAAAAATAAAAAAATATTTTTCAAATATCCGATTTATCAATATTTTTTATAATATATTTGAAGATTTCAACTTTGATGAATAAAAAAAAAGTAAAAACCGAAATAACTTTCACACACATATACTTAAAAAATAAAAATTGTAGTCCAACAATTGGTAGATTTACCTCAAACATATATTAATAATACACTTAATAGTAAAAAATTAAGTTTTTATGAGCTTCCTAAAACTCTTGAGAAATGCCTTTAAATATTTTTGAATGAATGGTATGTATATATATTTATGTTACTCTAATTTGCATATTAAAAACTAAGTTTTATATGTAGATAAATTTAACCTACATTTAAAAAACATGTTTTGTGATTTTTAAGAATTATACATTAAAAATTCAAAGAATCAAAATAATAAACATAAAACAATCAATTATTCAAACCTCTGTCATTAAAATCAATAGGTTTTATAATTTCAAAACTCTAATAAAGTAAGATGTGAGATGCTACACAATAATAGATCATTAAGTAAAAAGAAAAAATTCAAAAATATCCCTCTAGATTGCTAAAATATCAAGAATATCCTTATATTTTTGAAAATTACAAAATTATCCTTCATATTTGTAATAATATCTAATCTATCCCTAATCTGGATAGCTTCTTATTTACATTCCCTATTTAGTGCAAAGTAACCATTTAGTATATATTGTGTTGTTGTATTGTAATTCGGCTATTATATGAAAATAATGTACATATATATATTTAATGAATAATTTATCATACAATATAATAAAAGCCATGTTATTAGATTTTTATTAGTAATAAAATATGATTAGATTATTACTTTGAAGTAGTTTTTTAAAAGAACTATTATTAAAGTTGATTTTATGTTGATAATGATTTAATATATTTAGAGCCACCTTTATTAGACATTAGTGACTCTTGAAATCTTGTTTTGTTTCTTTTATTTGGTATTTAAGATATATATTATGTAAATCTTATAAGAAAAAATATTGAAGAGGGATTTTGGTAGCAAAAAGATTAGTTAGGATATCCATATGGATGAATGGAGATTGATGATGAAAATCTCCATTACTATTGGCCAAAAAGCATGCCCAATGGACTTCAAGGAGGTTGTCTGAGGCCTTATAAGGAATTAAGGTTACTCTTTCAAGGCCATTTGAACTTGAGAGACTAGAATCCAAGAATTTAGAATTTTAACTATGATTTTGGTATAAATTTTGTGTAATTTGGAGTTTTCATGAAAGAGATATAGGCGCTCAAAGTTAAGGTATTGATTTTGTACCTACAATCACTCATTTGAATACAACGCATCCATACAAAATGCAATGAAGGATTGACAATTGAGGTTAAAGAGAGCACTTTTTTAACAACACTTTTCACAAACTGCTTCATGAATTATAAGTTGGAATAAAGAAGTTATAGGAAGTTAAAACTAGTGCTTACAATCTAAGGGTAGTAAGTAATTTGATTAATTAGTGATTGTATTTTGAGCTATATCTTAAGCAATTTGACAAGATTTTAGCTAAATATTTCCAAGAATGTATGTTATTGTGTTATTAAATTATACTTATAAATTTTGTGGCATTTAAACCTTGGAATTTTGAGATGTAGAAAAAATAGTACTCACATGTTTGTAAATCAAGATTTAAAGTACCTTATAGGGTTTCTAAGATGTTAGATAATTTATAATAGATTTATGGTTCATTTTTTTTTTTTTTTTTTTTTTTTTTTTGTAGTAAAGCTTAAGGATAAATTCTACATCATCTAAAAATTTGTAAAAAACTAAATAGTTAGATCAAGAAGTATAAATTTCTTAAGTTTAGGGAGAAAAAATCTTTCATAAGAGAAAAATATTTTAAAAGGATATTGCAACAATTTGGACATTTTATGCAAAGTAAAGGAAATTTTTGGAAGCTGAGATTTTATATATATGTAAAAGATGGAAGTATAGAGCTATAATAAAATTCATAACATAAAGATGAATTTTTATAAAAAGATTATAGATTTTCTTTGAACTTATAGAAAATCAAACTCACAAGCAATTAGTTAGTTATGATTTGGTACAACAAAAGATGTTAGGATATTTTTAGATGCTT